AAATTAAGTTGGTTGTCCCAGACAGTTTTACCAAAGGGTCCTTAGGTCATATCATCCACAAGACCTTCCTGAATAGCATGAGAGTCTACAGCCATGGAGGGACGGTCATCCATAGGGTAACTCACACACACCTTGGCACATCCTTCACCTCCTCCAGCCAAGCCAAGGGTCTGGGTGGTGGCATTTATTTTATTTATAAGATGGTGCAGAGTGTACAGCTGGATCTTTTGGGTTCTCACTGACTCAAATAATAATCTTATAGAGCATTAATTACACCTGTATTTTCTCAACGGGAATAAACAGTTCCAAATACACTATATCTGAGCCCAGCTAGAAATGGCTGATGATGTTGTCGTCTTGCAAAGTGATTTTTGCAACTTCCAAGTCTCCAATGATTACAGGAGATAGTTACACAAATATTGCCTCTCTTTTTATGAAAACAAATTAAGTGATTCAAAGCAAAATGGAGTGAACAACTTTTTGCAAGATATATATATATATAATATATACATATATAAAAATACAAATATATATATATATATATACACACATTATTATAAAATTGGTAAGCCTCCCTTTTTCAATTACTTTCCCAGTAAAAATCAAAATAGGCATTTATTTTAAAAACTTAATTAGAAAAAAACTCTGAAGCAATTAATAAATGTTATCAATTATGACACATTACTATGAGAAAAATCCCACCTACTTCTTTTAAAATACAACTGAATATTCTGTACAATCTACCATTTTATAACAAGGAACTATATTTAACCATAAAAATAAATCAACTTCTCAACTTAAAAGGATCTCAACAACTTGGGGCCAGCAGGTGGTGTAGTAGTGAAGGCAGTGGATTTCCACATGGCTGACCCTGGTTTGAGTCCCAAACCTGGTAACTTGAAACTCGTGCTGGGTGAGTATGCATGCATACCCAAGATCCCTAGAGGAGAATGGAAGAGAAGGAATTGTGGCATGGCCATCTTCCCTGGGGGGTGATTTCTCACTTTCTCTCTTTGTATCTGTGGCTCCGGGGAACACATGTGCCCTATAGCAAAAATCTCTTTAAAAAAAAAAAAAAAAGAGATCTCAACAACTCAAATAAGTCTAGGAGAGCCTGTAGTAAACCGAGGGAGAAAGCTTTCTCATTCCACACCTTTCTTCCTAGTAATGGCAGGGCTTGAGCCTAGAGGAAACATCCTTTGTTTCATCTTGTCCTCCTGTATATTAATTATAAGTTCAGTTGCAAGCTGGAAGGTCTCAGTTCTATAGCCATTAGGACACGGGACTATCTCTCCTTCATGTCTCCTCATCCTGCATGCAATCATTGGCATTTTCCATTCCCTCTCTTTTGCAATAAACAATAGTAGTCAAGCTTTTGCCTTACAGGAGTCTAGACTATAAGGAGACAACTAGTTGCTTTCTGCTGTCCAACAAAACTGCTCTGAGTTATAAGCAGAGTACAGTCATCATCCAGAGCAGGAAAGTAGACCACGAATGCCCACTGAATGGACCACTTGTTGACTATGCTGTCTTTCCTCAAAACCAGAGCAATCCGTCACCTAGCAAGAAGCATCTGTCTATCTCCTAATAGTTCAAACTCCCATGATACCATCTGGGGGACCACTGAATCCGGAATCCTTCCTTCCATACAGCTCATTTCCAGAGCCCTGACCCTTGAGAATTCTAGTACAAAAATAGACTCTTTAGAGTTCTCTGGGTTTCCATTAGTGATTGGTCATTAAAGACAGGAGTATAACCTAGTAACTACAAAAAAGACTGGCATAGATGAAATAATCTACATAGTCACTTAGAAACACAAACCAGGGGTCCAACTACTATTAATTTTTTATATTTTTTTTACAAATTTTCATTAGAAAAATGGTTACTGCTTAACTCTGTGCAAAGTATCACCAAAAGATGTGAAACAGAATGAAATGAATAATGCTGGTTATATTAATGCCTGCCCTCAAGAACAACAGTTTTCTAGTGACAATTGCTATCAGTTTGGAAGGGCTAAAATACACAGATGGGCACCCCCTTCCCGGCTTTGTTCCATAAGGTAGGAGAACAGCTTTATGATATGGACCTTCACAAAAATAAACTTGTATACTTCCCATGTTGCCAGGGCTACAACCTAGAAGTTTATTTCCTGAACTGAGACACACCCCATTACGCACCTGTTGCGCAGTTACCAAACATATAAAATAGAAAAACCATGGTCTTTGGAACGTCTGCAACAGATTTGGGTTTTTGACTAAATATATATTAAAAGGAGCAAGAAGTAGTGAGTTCTGGTATGAAAACCAAATTCGAACAGAAGTTCCTTTAAGAGAAGAAAGACTTGCAGCTGGCTTGAAAGGGGAAAGAAGGCGCAAGCCGTCAGATGACAGTGAAGGACTGTGTGCCACCAGTTAAAAATAAATGACAGAGGAGTCCACACAAAGGCAGGCTAGGGAGGTGTGACAAACAGAATGGCAAACAGGAGAGCCAAAATAGGGTCAAGGACAAGGTAAGACAGAGGGAACCAAGGCAGGAATGGCTTGAGTTGGAAGGCAAAGGCAGAATTTGGAATTTGGTAGAGGGGATTGATGAGAAACCACTATTGAGAGGGGACACAAAGTGGTGCTCATCAAATTGGAAAATGCAAAACAAAGAATGAGAAGGTTTTTAGAAATGATAATTACAAATGACAAATTCTTGAATATGAGCTATTGGGTCACGGGGAAAGCCATGATGCAGTTTTGTGCAGAAAAATACGTCATGGCTTCCCCGGCAACCTACACTTACAGGCCTGTGTCAGCACAAGCAAAGGAATCACTATCGATCAGCACAATACATTGCCCTTATTTTACACCTGTTCTCAATCATCTCCACATGCATGACCCATTTCTGAAACCAGGGTTGGGCACCTTCACATTAAAATACAATATGTCACACCACTGACACACTGACCATGCCCAGGAAGGTCCAAAATGGGATTGACAGAAATGGGCACTTTGACAGGAAATTCCCAGGACCAAGTAACCCCCACTAGATCACGCCACTGGAGGAAGAAAAGCAGTACTATTTTTTAGCTCTGCAGGGAAAGCAGCTAAATTGTTCCTCCTGCTTATTAATAGACCAACATTTAGTCCAACTGCTCCAATCTGCAGTGGGAGTTTTGCCTTTCTCTCCTGAAAACTGAAAGTCAGGTTTATGGCTTTCTGCATAATGCTTGTCTACAAATGACGTGACTATTTCCATATGCTTTAGGGAGGTGAGTGACGGGGTTTTCTAAATTGCAAAGGCAGGGTAACCAATTTTAGCTAACTACTCTGTATGTGAGAATACTTTAACTTGAAGGAGAAAAATATATACTCTTGCAATACAAGTATTAACTTGTAATAAAGGGAGAAAAGAAGATAAAGTTTGGATGAGTAATAAGAGGCTAATAAAAGATACTAACTTGGCTTTTTAGTTCTTAGTGGGACTTACTGATTTAATTTTAAAAATAACAATCGTAGAGAGGGAAATAAGACAACCTAACATCTAAGCACTCCAATGAACATTAGAAACAATGAGGAAATTGAAGAAGTAGGAAAAGAAGGAAGAATGGAGGGGAGTTAGTTCGTTAAATAGCTAAGAAGAAAATGGAGAAGAGCCAAAGAAGAAAAGGGAAAAACTAGACCCCTTCAAACAAAGTATCACAGTTTAATTTTTAATACTCTTGTTTTATACAATCAAAAATTTCACTTAATTCTTTGAGAAAGAAAACTTGCATGGGTATACTATACAACTACACCTCAGGGACTATGCAATATTTACTTAGAGGAGACCAGGAGGTGGTCTGTGGTTAAGGTGCTGGACACTCCCACATGGCCGACCATGGTTCGAGTCCTGTACCTGGTGACTTACCTTCTCACTTTCTCTGTCTCTGTCTCTCTCTGGTCAAATTTAAATACATGAATGAATAAAGAAAATTAAATAATTCTTAAAATAAATTTTACTTAGAGTTCAAAAATACTTTGTCTTCCCAAGAAAGCAGGACTAAATACTCAAAAGAGATACCTGCTGTTGGACTGGGAGCTGGACAGAGCTACAGCAGACTGTGTATGTATACTGGTAACCTTCCCAAACGCGGACTTGTCCCAACAGTTATTCTGCTTTTGAACCTTTTGTTACAAGTTGCAAAATCTGAAAGTACCTTATTACCAAAAAATGACATTTTCTTTCCCCCTTGTTCATTTGTAGCCTTATTCTACACATTTTCCTGAAGTATTCATTACTATAATCTTAAAAATGGGTCATGCAATTTACCTACGAGGCTTTTTGGTCTCCTATGAATTTATTTTTTCTAAAACTCATCGATGGGCGTCTGAGTTATGTAATAATGAACTTCATCCTTGTGTACAAATGAAGTCAGGAATAGGTAAATGAAAAATGAAAGCGTAGGTAAATGAAAAACTGGGTAAAAACAAAACAAAACAACAACAACTACAAAAAAAAATCCACAACTAAACTAACCCATCTATAGCAGGCTCAGCTTTTTTAGAGAGATTAAGGCACCTACAGTCAACTGGTATGAAGGTCACCCAACGAAATGTCGCAATGATAAAGTGCCATTGACAAGGAGTGGAGTGTGCAAACGGCGGGTTAGAACTAGTCCACACGGTTCTCTTCACTCATTATTTCACCCCAAACATTCAAAGCATACACTGTGGTTGTCTATTATATTCACAGCAAAATGTTCTAAAATTTAGGACGGATTTTCTTGAGATTGAAATAAACATACTTCACTAATACGTTTTGAGGTTTACCTTCCCACACCCAGCTTTTGTTGTTGGAAAATTGACCCACAGGCTCAAAATTCCACAACGATTTCTTCATGATAAATGTGAGCGCTGGGGAAAAAAAAAAAATCTGTCTTAATTACTGAATCATTTTCCATCTGCTAACAGTGTTTAAAGGGTCACATTGTTTCAGTGGGAAATGTTCGGATTTTCATGGGAAGGAGCAGGTACCTTTAGTTTTCTAAGTCAAAATCAGAAGGAGGCACTGTCCTGGTACGGGACATCCATGCATCTTCCGGCTGCTTCTGACCTGCGGTGTTCCTGTTGGCAACTGCAGCTCCTTACACAGAGCAAATAGCTCCCAGCTTTGAGAGAGGCTCATCTTTTAAGTCCATGCTGCAAGCACAAACCTCCTGAGAGTCATTGAGGGGCTGAATCGTACTTGCAGCTGATGCGTACAGAGCTGACCTTTAAACTCCAGCCTTTAATAGAGCGTTGAGTTATTTCACTTTGTGTTTGCTCAACAGGTCCAGGGGTCACAGGGTCTGGGTTTACTGAGGTGGGGCAAACTGTGGAACCTTTGTCCAATTACCATGTTGCAATGGATGGGAGAGGGTCGGGGGCTGGGCTAGGAGAAGACTCAAGCCCCAAACTCAAGTGCACCCAGTATTATGGGCTGTTAGAACACATTCTGAAGTCTTCAGCATCTAGAGATGACTGGATTACATGGGCTGCTGACCAGAGATACCCACCATGGGAGAAAGGAGAGTCCTGAGGCTGGGGAGGAAGCCATTTTCTTTGTTTTTCACCTTGTCCTAGAGATGCATCCAGTGACAAAGCTTGAGGGAAAAGGAGAAATAAGTAATGCTAGTCCTATCTTTAGGAAACATTTAGTATTTTGTTCATTATAGATATTTTTGTATCAATTTTGATTTTTTTTTTTTTTTTAATTAGTGAACTTTGGGAATAGCAGATGGTGGAACGAATACATCTCTGGACTCCCACGTATTCGACCACAGTTCAAGTCCCGTATCTGGTGGCTTCAAACTCATGCTAGGTGTATGTGTGCATCCTCAAGATTCTGAGAGGAGAATGGAGAAGGGACTGCGGTGTGGCCAGCCCCCTGGGGGGGAGGGGACTTCTTGCCTTCTGGCTGTTTCTCTCTGTCTTTCCAGTGAGTGCATGTGCCCTATAGCAAAAATATCTCTAAAAAAATTAGTAGTACATTCATGTGATATTTGTCTTAATCAATATTACTTTTATTTTGGTACCTCTTTAGTGCCAGGGTAAGGGTCTCACTCTCCTCACCTGAGTCCTGGTCCTGCCCTGTCACCTCACTGCCCCCCCCCACCCCCTTACATCTTTATTTGAAATTGGAGGCAGATCTAGGCAGGGAGGCACAGGTGCTTACAGTTGAGGCAGAAAACAGAAGAGCCCAAAGTCACAATAAAGAAACCTTCCTGAGCAGATCCTACGTGTCACGCAATTATGGGCTGTTTACCCACGGAAGTCTACCAATCTCCAGCTGATGAAGCCAAGGCTGTGAGAAACACGCTTCTTTCTTTCCTCCAGCCTGAGAACTGGCTTTACAAACCACCTGGCATTTAAGCAAAACCCTGGGATTATCTGTGATCCTTCCTCGCCAAGCCACAGAATCTATCACACGTGTAACTGTTTGTTGTCACCGAAGTAGTTGAAGATCCAAAGACAGTATGCTCGATGACAATGCCTATGCTCCTCTTGCCATACCTGCCACCTCTCCCAGGAAAATAGAGCTCATCAAATTGTTTTGATAGCCAGCTGGCTGGTCCGAGACACGGCGGAATTGTTTCCAAGTGCCATTTTACAATTTATGCAAGATATTTTAGTTTGATACCCAGTGCAAGTTCTGGGCCAGCTGGTAGTGGTCTGTCCAAACACTTGGTTTTGAGATTCTAAGAGATCTCACCGTATCTGCAGGTCTTCAATTGTCCCATGTTTTCTTCTGTGAGTGTCAGTGAGAAACGTGAATTGAAAAAGAAATTGTGGGGACCAGCAGTGCTGGACTCCCACAAAGTCAACTACAATTCGAGTCCTGGACCTGGACACTTGAAACTCACACTGGGCATGCGTGTCTGTGTGCCCTAAGTCCCATGAGGAGAATGAAGGAGAAGGGATTGCAGCGTGGTCATCCCCTAGGGGGGTGATTCCTTGCTTTCTGTCTGTCTCTCTGATGAGCACACATGACCAATAGTAAAAATTTCTCTCTTAAAGGAGAAGGGGGGTGGAGAGAGAGAGAGAGAAAGAAATGTTGTTTCTTTATGTTGTTGTGAGTGGATGACGCCAGCACAACTTCAGTTAAGTCATTACTAAAGAAGTGAATTAAGACATGGGTATCAACATACTTTAGAAATCAGGCTAGTCAATCTGTTCAGATAAGAATTTTTACTCCAGGCCAGCTCAGTAGCCTAGAGGTTAAAGGAGCCAGATCCCACATGGCTACCTGTGGTTTGGAAAACATGCTGGTCACGTGACTGCTCCAAATCTTGACAGGATGGACAAGTAGGGAAGAAGGGATTATGGCGTGATCATGCCCCATGAGAGGATACTTTATTTCTCTGTGTGTCTTTCTCTCTCACTAGCACATGTGCCCTCTGATGATACAAAAAAAAAAAAAAAAAGAGAGAGAGAGATTCAACCCCAATGGTAATCTTTTTTCCCCTTAGTTTTGACAGAGGGTACATGTGCTCACCAGACACACACACACACACGGGGTGGGGAGCAAAGTAAGAAATCATCTCCTAGGGTGGGTGGCCATGCTGAAATCTTTTCTCCTCCACCCTCCTCTTGGGGTTTTGGGCATGCATGCAGACACACCCAGTGTGATTTTCTTTTCTTTTCTTTTTTTTGAGAGGTTTTTTGCTATAGGGCGCGTGCGCTCGCCAGAAAGACAGAGAGAGAAAGAGAAACAGAAAGCGAGAAATCACCCCCCAGGGGGGATGGCCACACCGCAAGCCCTTCTCCATTCTCCTCTTGGGATCTTGGGCATGCACAAGGCATGAGTTTAAGCCACCAGGTCCAGGACTTGAACTGCGGTCGGCTACTTGGGATTTTAGTGACATAACCAATACGCTAACTGCTGCTCCCTCCCAGTGTGATTTGCAAGTCACAGAGTCCAGGACTCAAAATGTGAAGTTGACTGTGTGGGATCCAGCCACCTTAACTTCCATTCCATCTGCTGGCTTGCAAGTTAAGTTTTTACTTCTATATTTCTTGGCTATCTCCCCTGTCTACCTTCCCTTGTTTCAAAAAGTCTAAACTGCCTAAAAGAATTCTGGCATCATTCCAAGGGGATCTTTTATTAATAGGTAAGGAGAGAGGACTATATGTAAGAGTCAATGACATATAGGATTGATTTCTCACTATTCATTCTATCTGGCTGAAGATGAGAAATGGATGTGCCCAGGGCCAGTGCTGGTTTAAGTGGGCTGGAGAAAATGGGGGACACTGTTTTGACATCAATGTTATTGCTCTATTCTTGGGAATATATTTTTAAAGCATTTTATCAGCTACTTTACTGAGTTTCTTTGCAAACTATTCTCACATAATTCAGTATAAAAAACCCATACAGTCTTTTAGAGCCATAGAGCAAAGCATTTAAAAAAGTGGGGGTGCCAGCAGGTAACATGATGGTTAATGTACTGGACTCACATATGACCAACCACAGTTCTAGTCCTGGACCCGGGAGCTTGAAAATCACACCGGGCACATGTGCATGTGTGCCCAAATTCCCAAGAGGGGAATGGAGGAGAAGGGATTATAGCATGGCCATTCCTCTGGAGGGTGATTTCTCACTTTTCCTCTGTCTTTCTCTCTCCAGTGTGTGTACATTCCCTATGGCAAAAAGTGGGGGGAAAAAGTAGGAAGTATTTATGAAGCATGTAGGAATGTGCTCACCAATCTGTTTTGGTTGTCGCCAGATAAAAATTGCCTTAAAGAGAAAACATGCCCTTCTCTATATTATGGGACCATGTTCCTCTCTACTTTATGGGACTATGAAATAAAATTTTGTCCATGATAGTGATAAGCGTTTTCAACCATCTATCACTCAGTAGCCAATTTGTATACTATATCTAGGATTATTAATAATTCTGTTTCAGAGATTTTATTTATTTGTATCACTAAATGCCATCTATCTAGATACAGAGCAAAGGGCAAAGGTGCAGGATTGTTTCTCCAGTTAATGTCTGATCTGTTTGTCATTCTAGAAATAGTATAGAAAAAAAAAGGGAAAACCTATTAGAAGGGATGGAGTTTTTGATATTTGGGTGTCACAAATTGGCAGGTCTTTACCAAATTGTGTTACTAATTAAACTTTATTGGACCACATATTAAAAGGGAGAAAGGGAATTTTTGAGGGAAGGAGAGAGGTTTCATTTGCAATAACTTGCATGAATTGCAACACTGGAAAACCTTGAGATTCCATGTAAAACGTAGATTTCTATATTTTTCCTTGTGGAAAAGGAAGATGTAGCTACTCTAAGTCAGCACTGCCACTGGACATTACTGAAGGGCAGCCGCCATGTTTTAGTCAAACAAGCTACACTCACCGGTCCCTAACGTTGTTTCTAGGCCAGCTCCATGGAGATCCTGTATCTACCCGGCCCGGTGAGCCTTCTACCATTCCTACCATCAAAACGAATACCTGGCATCTGATTAGAGAGTTATAAATAAATAATGGAGAATTTGTCTTTTAGTCTGACTCTTAGTCTGACTCTTTAATCTGGAGAACTCACCCTGAGATTCTAACATAGCTTTCTAAATAAGAAGAATGAGCACAGACCCCCACTTGACCAATGTTCCTCAGCTGACCAGAAACCTGGAATTCTCTCCCAAAGTCTTAAAAGGCCACAGGCTAATGACATAAAGATAAAAACCATGGCTTTAAAGATCATCTCCGAAAATATTCTCTTTGGTAGCTGTGCAAGTGTTTGCCCAGAGGTCTTTCATCTTCTCTATTTATATTTTATTAAAAAAAGAAAAATCGGGCTGTTTGGGGCCAGCTCCATGGTGCAGAGACACTGACCTGGGACCAGCAGGTGTGTGGTGGTTAAAGTGCTGGCCTCCCTTATGGCCGAGTGCAGTTTGAGTACCAGACCTGGTGGCTTGCTTTCTCGCTTTCTCTCTCCTTCTTTGGTGAACACATGGGCCCTAGAGTAAGTTAAAGTAATAACATAAATAAATAAATACAATTAAATAAATAATTCTTTTAAAAAAATGAGAGAGATGGTGACTCACATGGCAGATTGTGGGTTTGATCTCCCCAGTCAACTGGTAAACGCCAAGTGCCATAGGCACTCATCTATTATCCTGGCTGGCAACCAGGGCTGGAGAGGGGTTGTGGCATGAGACCCTGTTGAAGGTCTTGTCTTTCTGTCTCATTCTTGTGAAAGAAACAAACTCTTTTTTTTTTTTTTAAAGCACTGTTTTAACATCAATATATTATCAAATAACCC